GTTCAACGCAATGGCCTGCCGATCCGAATCAAAGTCAGTTCTGCGAGGCGAGGTTGGGCTCTTCTCAAACACCTTATTCAACTGGGCAGTCTCTCTCAGCATTGCGGGCCAGTTGCTTGTCATTTACTTCCCTTGGCTCCAGGAGGTTTTCCAGACAGAGGCTTTGGGCTTATTCGACCTGTTGGGGCTTTTGATGCTTTGCAGCACGGTGTTTTGGGCGGATGAGTTTAGAAAGTACTGGAAGTATGCCAGACGGCGCATGGGGGGCGGTTACAGTCAGGCAGTGTAGACCAAGACGCGGAAGTATCACTCATGCGAAGGTACGGGGGAATCGTACCAGTCAACGGCCTTAGCATATATGTAAAACTCTGAATACGGTAAATAATTTTAACGGCCTTTTCAAAATTCAATTGCAAAATCACTACCTTCTTTCGTCCGATGCTCTGGAATAGGACAGCTGTGCAGATCAGCCCAAAGTATGTTCCTCCCTTGCGCCCACACCTTAACCTCGCTTATCGGTGAGCTAGGTTCACCGAACCTCCTACCTAGCACTTCGGGCCAGCTAACACCTTGACCTGGACCTCAACCCTCACGGCACAGACAACACCCCCCTACCTCTGCTGGCAGGCCAAGGTAGCTATGCACCCGTCAGCTAGCTCGCGCCAATGTCAACACTCACGAATGGCGTTTCCTCCCATCGCGCGGACAGCGACAATGCCGCCGACGGCGCACACAGCAGCGCTGCGGCCCGACCCAGCTGTAGCGGCACCAGCAGCATCTACGCAGCATCGAGCGTCGCCGAGGTGCATGCTGCCCTCGAAGCTCTCCACGCCCGCGAATCGACAATCACCAGCCGTCTCGACGCACTCCTAGGCTCCCAGGCCGACCTCGCCCGCGAATTAGGACGACTAGACCTGCTGCGCGCGGGGCTCGGTAGTCAGGTCATTGCTGCCCGGTCCGTTGGCAATGACATGCTCTCGACGGCCGCGGACACGGCGGGGCGGCTGAGCAATAAGGTGAAGGAGCTGGACTTGGAGAAGAGCCGGGTCGAGGATACACTCGAGGTTGTGAAGCAGGTCGTCGAGCTCAAGGCTTGTGTCCAGGGCGTCGTGGGCAGCATGGGTGCCCCGCAGGACTGGGAGGCGGCCGCGGCGTACCTTGCGCGGGCGGCGCAGGTGCCGGAAGATATCACCAAGGGCAAATTTGCGGCGTCGATTGTACCGTCCGTCGAGGTTCCCGACCCCCCGTGGGTGACGCTCGAGAACGCCAAGGAGAGTCTATGCGGGCTGTTCCTCAGGGAGTTCGAGAAGGCGACCAAGGAGGGAGACGGTGCCAAGGTGACGAGGTTCTTCAAGCTCTTCCCGCTCATTGGAAGAGGAGACGTTGGTCTGGACGTATATGGGCGGTATGTTTGCCAAGGCGTGGCCGGTACGGCGCGATCGGTATTGAAGGAGAGTCCCGGTGTCCAGGCGAGGAAAGAAGGCTTCTTCTATGCGAATGCTCTCACCAGATTGTTCGACCATATTGCACGCATTGTGGAAGGTCACGGAGGTCTTGTGGAGCTGCATTATGGCTCTGGCAAGATGGTTCGTGTCATTGAGCGTTTGCAGCAGGAGGCCGACGTACAAGGAGGCATTGTCCTCGACTCGTGGAGCGATGAGCGAGACGTGGACAGGCGGCTTAAGGACGTCAAGAGCTACCCCTTTTCTTTCTTGGTACAGAGCTTTCTCCCTCAGCAGAGAGGTGGGACCCCGCGGGTCAACTCGCCTGCCATGGGCGCCGGCGCGAACCCGCGAGCTAGTGAGGATGAGGGCGTCAACATGAAGGAGGTCGATGGCCTTCTAAGTGAGATCGCAATCATGCTCGGCCGGTGGTCTCTATACTCCAAGTTCCTAGCAGGAAAGACTCGCGTAAGTTGATTGCCTCCCTACTACTACGAACACGTTACTAACGACTCCTTTAGGACCCATCTACACCCGACGACGCTCCCCTGTCCGTGCCGGAAGTTGTCGTCAAGTCCAACCTCAGGAAGAAGGTTTCGGACAAGCTTACATCCCCCTATAACATCATGATGACTTTCTTCTTCCGAAGATCAGTCGAAAAGGCGTTCCAACTGGACGAGTCGCCAGCGAGCAGCCTGTCTCTCAGTATGAACAAGCACATTGACACAAACCAAGCATTCATCATCTCTGCGGTTGACGACGTCATGTACGTCGTCAGTGCCGTTATCCAAAAGTCAATATCGACATCTCAAAGAGACGTCATCTCATCCGTCATTCCCACCATCGGTCGCGTCCTCGGCTCAGACTTTGTCGGCATGATTCAAAGAAAGATGCGAGACGAGTCCTACCCCAAACCAATTGTGCAAGGGGGGTTCCCGCCAGAAGACAGGATCATCCAGTTCATCGTCCTCATCAACAGTCTTGATACTGCCAATGAGTACCTCGGACGCATCATTACGACCAACGTCGGAAGCACAAACGACCCGCCAAAGGTAAATGGCGATGCTCATGAGGCATCACTTAGAGACACATTCCCTTTCGACAAGGACGTTGCTTTCGTGGCTTCTGCTCTCAACACACTGCAAAGCTCCTTCACCACGAAGACCACCGAGCTTCTCAACGAGGGACTCCAGGTTCTCTTCAAGCAGGTCGTTCAACCACGCCTTCGGCCTGTGCTCAGCGACACCTTCCGCGACGTGGACTACTCTTTGACGGAAGAAGAGCTAGCCGAGTTTGCTCAACAAAACGACGAGGACGAGGAGGAGATGCTAGACCAGGTGTCCCGTCGCTTTGAGCACGGCTGGGACCAGCTCATGAAGCCTGTCGCGCGTCTCATGACGCCTCACACCTTTACGACGCTCCATGACCTGACGGCGCGGTACCTCTCGCGTGTGCTCGAACGCAGGGTCTGGGATGCCCGGGCAAACGCCTATGGTGTTATCCGCATGGAGCGCGACTTCTCCAGCATCGTCAGCACCGTGTCCAAGGGCAACTACGGCGTCAGAGAGCTGTTTGCGAGGGTCTCACAGATCTTGATGGTGGCCAACATGGAAGAGGAGGAGTGGGAGGAGATTTCTGCTCAGCCGGATGACGGGGAGGAGGATGGAATGATTTGGGTTCTGACCGAAGATGAGAGGCGGCGGGCGAGGCATCTTACGTCTAGGGAGCGTAGAGGATGAGTTTCCATCTCGAAGGAAAGAGAAGAGATGCACTCCTCCTTTTTCAGAGAATGAGGCTTTTGTGCAAAAGAAGTGATGGGCGGATTTGGAATACAGAAAAGCTGATGAGAAATGACCTCCTTTTCACTCCAGCAAAGCGGCATTTCACGACGATCAAGATGTTTGCTTGGGGGTGGGTATCCAAGATACAAAGAATACTATCGAGACTGTTACAAGCATCTGTGCTGTTTAAGGATCTACTTGATTTAATGGTGAAAAGCACGGATCAAAGACGTATCGATCTATGGCCGCACCTGCCATCGAATATGACAGCTCGGTGTTCTTTCCTAATAACTCAACATTTTTGCCTCGTCACGTAATCCTGCCCCTTTCCTAGAAGAACCCTACCCGGCCTTTACCTTTCCACACCAGAGGCTTCCATCTCGATCCATACTCTACCTTACTCTGTGTGAGAGAATCTTGTCTCAATCATCACTGCCTTCCACCTGCAATCCTCAAGCTCCCACATCTTCCATGTCACAGCCCCCCTGACCACACTATCAAAAAGCGAAGAGATGGTGGCGACATCGAAACTACGAGCAAATGTCTCAAGCAGTTGGTTTGCATGCCATGCGATGTCCTTGAACAAAACCCTGCCATCATCTGTCGGTTGGCGTCTATTGATTGCGTTGACATCCATGACAAGGCTGACATGATGATGGGACTCATCAGTCTTGAGCACTTAACCTGTAGGGTTAATCGGTGTCTTTTTCTTCGCGTTTCCATCCTTGAAGGGGTTAGGTTGGATCAAGAAGGCTACTCCAGCTCTGACAGCCGAGCTGATCTGGAGTATCTGCAGGATGAACATATCCACGGTCATATCGCGAAGCCTGTCCCCGAGGTGTAAGTACAGATCATCTCGACTACTTGAAGTCCATTCGAGCTGACTGAACCCCAGTATCTCGGAACTCAATTTCCCTTGGTCATATATGGCCGTCGTCTATCGAGTACGAGCGCGTGTCATTAACGGGTTCGTGAACCAGTTGTAAGAGCAAGACAAACGGCCATAGACGACAAAGACTCTAGTATATAGGATCGACTATAGCTATGCTTTTAGGTAAGGTACTGTGAAGGCAAGTATGTCAAAAATATCCGCCACTAATCCCTGGTTGATGATCTTCACTCAGGGTGAGACTGATCGTGCCGTTTCGGAGATCAGATTTCGGCGATGTGGCCTAAGAGGCAATTCAAAAGAGCTCCATCTTCGAATACTTAAGACGGTATCGTGCTGGCGGTGACTAAGAAGTGTCCTTGAGGAATACGCCTGCGAGGCAAACCCGCATCTTCGACAGAGACAGATTTGTCGTGTACTCTGCGATCGCTCTGGTACATTACGAGCCGTCAAATTGCCCCTGTATTCACTCCTTATGGCCAAATTTTCACCTCCGAAGAACGAAACGTCGAACGTGTTAACAACTACACTGGTGGGAAGAACAGAAACGAGCGAGACCTCCAGACGAGCAAAACTTGTGGGGAAGAAACGAAAAGCAGGCCCAGGTATGTTGAGCCCTCATCGAGTTGATCTGTGAGCATATCCGTATCACTTCTGACTGTAGGTCGGATTCTTTCGACTCTGTCACACCATAACGTCTATGAATGAACAAGCAGGGCGGGCGGCACTGACTTCGTTTAGGTATCTCGTCGCTAAAAGCTAGTCACATTCCCGACCCCTCATAACTAATAGCCTGACATCGCCTTGTAACGCGGTCGCGGTAGCAGCAGAAAGCATTGCTTGATGTCCAACCACCAAGCTTTGCAGTCTATACAGAGAGCCGATATCATGTATAAATGGGTCCTCCATTTCTTGTCCACAGCCTTGCTATCACCATCTCTCACGCAACATAAAAGATGGCCACGGGCTCAATCTCAACTCTCCATTCTCAGGACTAATCAAGTGAGCTTAGTCGTCGGGAGAATGCTTGGCACACCGACAGGGTCCAAGTTCCGGCGTTTCAAGGGTCACCCGCGTAGAGACGGCTCGAAACTAGCCATCGATGACGACCGCCGCTCACTTGAAGACACTGAGGGTTCGGCAGCGTGGAACCGTTTGCGGGCCGCGACAAGAATACTCTACTATTGGTGGCGGCCAACGACGGCGCGTCGTCGAACTACCCCAGGATGGCCGTCGAATCACTTCAGGATCCTGAACAACTTCGAGCTCGGACCCAGGCTTCGATGCATCATCTGCTGCTCGATCGAGACGAACTATTATGTGCGTCGGCGGAGTCTCGAAGCTGCCCACGACTTCGGACGGACCACCATCCGTCCAATTCACCCGAGTCAGAGAACCTACACTAGCATCTGGCAGATCGCAGCATGGTTCCAGAGGGCGTTTTTTGCAACAGAGACGCCGAGGGGACCGAAGAAGCAGAATGGTGGGACCCTGAGACTTTGCATTGCACCAAGTCTGGATGCATTCCATGACGCCCATTATCTGCCAAGATGGCCCGACGACGTATACCAACCATACATTTTAGACGACTTGTATTCGTAAAGAGGTGCTGAGGCAGGCGGCGGCCACATGCCTCTTCGGCAGCGGGAATGCCGGCCTGAACAAAGACCCTCGGTCTCGGAGCGGTAAGGAGCCAGTAACGGCAGACTCCAGAGACGGACGGCGAGCGGAAAAGGCGCGTGGCTGGCGCCATGACGCCAAATTTCACGCGCAGAAGGACTCAGACCTGCAAGCGACGAGTATTTTCTCTTTCTCGGTTCTTTGAGTGGTCGCAGGAGAGTACCCACGGTTTCCACTGTGAGTGGATTGTCCCATCGGAGTGGGCAAGATGCAAGACCACGACATCGACATGGTGTTAGTAGGTGGGTTTTGGACATGGATTCTGGTCGACCCTTGACATTCTGGGGTCCTTTTTCGGGTTCTTGAATATGCGGAGCTCCTACTTATGAAATGCGGGACGTTGACTGGGCGCAGAGATCGATGCGATGTAGACCTTCCTGTTGACAGTCATGCAACAGTCACCATTGGCTGGGAGGCATAGTATTACGGGGGTCAACTCAAAGCTTTGCCATCCGGGAGAAAAAAAAATGCAATCCCTTTGGATTTCTGAATCCCTTCGGCACATGTCTCGCGCGGACGGCTGAGTCTAGCAGCGGTCAAGAACGGGCGCTCGGGTCCGACTGTCGTCATGCAAACCAGCCCGGGTCGAGTTAGTCGTTTTTGGAGACATTCACGATTCCCAAGCTCCTCCAATCTCGAACGGTAAACCGGGGGCCGGAGGAGGAGGAGGAACAGCAGCTGGCGCCAGAAGTGACTCCAGTGAGCCCGCCCCTCTCCGATCTGTGCCGTAATTCTCCTCTCCCACGCTTCACCCTTGGCCCGGCATCTGGCAGCTTGGTTTGGACGGAGATCATGCCAGGATCTGGTGACGGATTCGGGTTCCTTCAGGCGCCTTAGCGAGAGTTTCCGACGCCCAGGTTCAGCCCATGGCGCCCAGCCCGGAGCATCCAGCCTTCTGCAGACTGCGTGTGTGCTGTACGACAGTTTGCCAGGCCCGCATCCCCCGAGTCGGGTCTGCCCAATTGCCTGATATCTGAATCCTTGGATTATTACGGACACGCGAGCGCTGAGTCGTCGATGGGCCTGCTGAGTCGCTGACGCCGACGACCACTTGCAGAAATCGCAGCCATAAGGGGTACGGAATCCGCTCAATCCCCACCTGCTTTCGCTTGACCCTTGTGTTTATGTCAAGCGCGAACTCCATTTCAATGCGTTGGATGAGGCAGGAGACTACGGAGTAATATGCACATGCCAGCCTCAGAAACAGGACAGGACAGCGCAATTCAAGGCACAGCATGCAGCGAAGAGGAGCAGAAGTGAGGAGTCCACGACCAAGCGGCATATTTCGGGCGACTAAACAGCCACTTCCATTATTTGGAAACTGTTTGCTTGCGCCGCTGCTGACTCATTTGGGGCATCACTGAGTCTGCGATGTTGGGTTTCGCGCGGGTTCGCTGAATATGGCACCCAAGGCAACGAAAAGAGCGGATATGGCTGGTGGATTTGAGATGTTGTTGTCTTGTTGTGTTGTCTTGCCGCTATTCGCTACGACGCTACAACAATGCAGCCGCCCGTGGGAAATCACCATGGCAATCCGACCGAGCCTTGAATGAATTTCACTTGTTGCTTTCTTCTCCGGCAATGCGGGTACGGGTAGCATTGACAATCACCTCGCTGGCGCCCACTTCGGTCACCAACCAATATGGATAGATTCCTTCTGTGGTTTCTCTGCCTCCCGCTCCCACTGTCTCAGTCTCGCTGTCAGCTCATCAGCCATGATCAGCCTTTTCGTACGGATACTCCAGAAACAAACACGGCCACACCACCACCCTGAACTGGTAGACCAAGTTGGGAAAGGCATCCGGAGCAGCGGACTACCTAAAGAGTAATTTGAGGTTGTCCTGCAAAGAAAAGCTTCCTGCGCAGAGGCTCCTCCGGTTGGCTAGGCTTCCCCTGTAATAAGCTACGCTGGGCGTATCATGCCATGGGTCGCCCAACCTCTCGCATCGGCGCGTCAGAACCGCACCACAATCGTAGCCATAACATCTCATACATATCCCTCGCGTGACCCGCCCGCGCGGTTGGTGCTGCCCTCTTGTTTGGTGCCTCTGGCTTTCTTGCTTCTGCAGCGCCTACGCTTCCTTCTCCTACCCGTTTTCGTCACTTTTCTTGGGTCCTCTTTCTTGGGTCCCAAGCAACCTTTCCTCTCTGGGTGCTACCGTCCTTTTTATGGACTTGTTGATGGAGACTGCCTGCATTAGGGCCAACCAGTGTTACCTTACTTTGTCACTTCCCCGTCGAAACCGCTTTTTTAAAACCCCCGTTGTCCCTCCCCCGGACACCATCTGACGGGTTCGGTTTGAGTCTGGTGGGAACTGAGATTCAAACTCCCTTTTTTCAACACTACCAACCGAATGGCCATTGGCGCTACTCTCACCTTCACAACTCTAGACGGACATGGCCGAGTCTGATCTCGTCCGTCCTTCAACGTCGCATTCCGGCGCCTCGGGCTTTCAGAGGAGGTTTCTTCTTTCAAGCCCGGGGCGGCCTCGAACCGCAACTGGTCTCAACGACCCCAAACTCAACACCCCCTCGCCTGCTGGTGGCTTGGCTATACGAGTCTGCATCAAGTTTCAGCCGTCTTTGGATCTTACCTATGAGAGACAATACCAATCATCGTACGGATTCGAACCGACCGATCAACTATGTCAAGCACTTATACGTCGCTTGACCCACTGCTCTCATGAGCTTCTCACCCGCAGAGATTCAACCGCCCTCGAGCGGACTATCCCACAGATTGGGGAAGGAAAGCCGCTTCGATTTGAGTTAACCTACCAGATCTATCGCGGAGGCCCGGAACCATGGGCAACGAAAACGTTCAGTTCGTACCAGAAGTATCCCATGGATAAGCCGTTTGCCATGGAGATCGCTCGCTCGACAGACCGCATTATAGGCTCCTTTATGAAGCTTCACGACAAGTCTTTCAGATGGACGCAAGGGAGGACACGTGAGCGATCCTCTAGCGAGCTGGAAATTCTCAAACCTTTGAGCAACCCGGTCTCCCTTCTTCACGTCCCCCAATCGCGTTTCATTGATGCTACCCAAGATTGGGAATTCGTCCCCGGCTACGAGATCACTCTATCCTTCCGGAGTCGATGCAAGTCACGCAGGCAAAGAGAATGGCAACGTACTATCACGCTGAAGAGCATGCAGAGCTCCCCGCTAACCTTGTCCCATGGAGAAGATATGGCGTGGGTTTTGTCAACAGCGATGCAACGTGCCTTGGATGCTAGGAAGATGGCGTTTGATAGGCATCACCGCCAATCTCGTGACAGATTTGACTTCCTTGACGAGTCCCATCATTCTGAGCAAAACGCCGTTCATGTCGGATTTCAAATACGGAATCAACTTGGACTGGATCACAAGCACCTGCGCCGCGAGCTTGATAGCAACCTGCTCCTCTTCGAGCACCCTGAGGGTCTCGACTGCGACCAGTTCTTGAGCCAGCTCCAACATGCCTTTGAAGCGGTGCGAGATGATACTGACAAGGAACTGAACGAGATGGACGACCTCAGAGTCACAGTTTATGAACTGTCCGGGCGCGGCTGGAAAACCGAAAAGCCATTTGCTGTCTGCCTCGACTCAACTGCCTGCTATTCTCGGAGAACGGTCAAAGCCATCTTGGACAGAGTGCAGACCGGCGTTGCGGATATCCTCGGAGGCAACGATATAAGTATCACTCTGATGGTTCACAAGCGTGGCCACCTGGTTTTGGACAAGACCCTCGTGGCCCGTTCGCCGTACTACGCGACGGGACAGCGCCAAGACGAAGATCCTGAGACTGTGAAGGAGAATTTCCTGTCGAAACTCAAGAGCCGAATCCAATCCGACATTGCTTTGGTGGTGAAAGACACGTGCGCTCTCTACGACTCTCAGCCACAGAACATTCGCGTTGTCGAGCGGCCAGTTCCTGCAGCGAATGACCCTGCAGAGATGGAAGCTTTACCATCTAGTAGCCCGCTCCCGATCCCGACGCCTAATGGAGCCGTGCCGGACTCTTTCGATGGCAGCTTCACTGAGTCGTCCGAACCTTCGATCCTCGAAGATGAAACGCTTCAGAATAGCAGTGGGGTTGAAACGATGGCCGGAAGCGTCAATGACACCGTGGGGCCCTCGCAACAGCCTGAAACTCCAGCCAAAGCAATCGCTTCCAGAGATCAGCTCGACTGCAGCGGCAGCAGTTTGTCCTTCTCGATGACTGAAGACGGCGAAACTACATATCCATCCTCGTCGTCTACTCCAAGCCTTGCCGACGATAACATTGGCACGCCCCACGATAGCCTCTTGATCACGCCGACCTTTATGCGAACGCTCTCGGGAACCCCTCAACAATTTGACGCAGATCCGAACATTGCCGGTTCAGAAACCTCCGATAGCGACCTTGTCGACGATTCACTAGTAGGGCCGCCGACACCGACGATGCAGCGCTTCAACGGCCCACGACAGTTCAGCCTGCTGGGTAAAGGCAGCCGGTCTGTTTCCAGACAATCTCTGGTATCAACCGACTCTGGTTCCGAACAGCGGTCACTGACCGACTCGGAACCGTCGCCTTCGCCAGAATCAGAGGATGTGATTGTCCAGGTCGAAGAAGTTGCTGAGTCGGAGCCCAAGGTCCAGTCTGCTGCCGCCTGTTTGCCGGTATCGCCTGCCGCGGAGGTCGACGAGCCATCTGAAGAGCCTGCTCTAGAAGGTTGGCTCGAATACTGCTGCGAACCAGTCGATGCCGACGAGCAGTCGGTCGCACCGGAGTCGGAAGCATTGCTTGAAGCCGAAGTACAGAATGCCGAGGAGTCGATAAGCCAACAACAGCCAGTGATCGTCATCACTCCAGACGTACCACGAGCTAGGCCTTCTACCCCTCCCCGATCCTTCGAAGGCTTCTTAGAGTACTCTATTGAAACCATCGTCGAAGAGGACGAGGACGACTCTGATGCTGAGTTCCATGACGCAGACTCTACATCTGCCTTCGCCATCATGTCGAGCCCTTCAAGCTTTGCAACGGCGACGGAGACTGGGCTGAACTCTCCCGTCAACTTCGACAATGGGCCACTCTCACCCCTTATTCTCGATTCTGCGACGGCGTCACCTAATCGGGTTGATTCAGCTTCGCCTTCCCTTGATCTCGAGAAGGGAGCTTTACCGCCTGCTGTTGAGGTGATGGAGTCAGGTTCTCTATTTGAGGATGTGCCATCCGCTCTGGCTTCGACTATCCAAGTCGATTCTTGTACGTCTTCCACTGACACGATCGAACCTACCACCGCCCCGCACATTCCCGAGGCAATCGAGCCCTTGCTACCCAAAGCAACTGAGGATTCTCCTCCCGAAGTTGCCGAGGACCCTTCTATTCCTGAAACACACGAGCCCGCTGTTCCCGACGTTCCTCCTGCCCCCGAAGCCATTGAGCTGTCCGCGGTTCCCCTGGAACCTGTCGAGCCGACTCTTGATTCCTCCGAGCAGATTCACAGAGATTCACAACCTCCAGTCCTGACCGAGGCCCAGTCCGTCTCGGATGAAGCTCCTCGTACGCCGACATCGGACTCGGCGCCCTCGTTCAGCGACAAAGAGGAAACTCGTGAACCGTCTACTCCGCCGTTGATGACTGAAACTGAGGATTCGGACTACTCAGAACCTTCAGAGCCTACCGTACCATTCCCCGAATTCTCCAGCGATGCGACCGTTCACGACGAAACCATGTCTCTCTCGCACTGGTCGCCGCAGAGAAGATCATATCACTTTGACGACTCGAGCGACAGCTACTTCGGTCACATGCGCAAGATGTCGATCCCTCGGCCATTGTTTGCCCGTCCTAGCTCGAGTTACGCATCCTTCGGCGGATCATTCGGCCATAAACGTCAATTTTCATCACCGACTGCGGGGTTCTTCGGCCTCCAGGAACCGCGTCGTCTCGACATTGGTCTCCGTGGTGCTTTGGTCGGTATCAGAGCCCTACAGAGCCAGGGGAAGCTAGAACGACGGCCATCGCAAGTACTGTTGACACTCGACAACGATAAGGGCATGGTCCTTGTGCCTGGCAATAGTCGACGCAATAGCGAGAGCAGGGGAATTGGAGGTGCAGGAGTTTTGGGGCTGGGCAACGCTTTCGCGTTTTGAACGCATTGCCGGGACTGATAGAAGGATAAACGTCACAGGAGGATTCTTAAAAATATGATGATATGATGACTTGGGGGGAATTGGACGGCGGCACGGAGACTAGGTCCAGCGGCCACCCGGGCAGAAATCCGGTTGTTGGCATGAATTGGCGTTTGGGGTACTTTATTTTGATACAGCGGGTTTCAACGCAAGCGCGCAAGCGATGCATGGCGGGCTGTTTTGCCTGATCAAAAGCGCAGTTTACGTCGCTATTACTAGAATTAGGCAATCAAAAGCACGAAATCTAGAAACCGGTATGAACTACTCATTCTATATGCTCGTTTGTAACAGATCTGGTATATGTGCGTACTCTGTGACATTGCTCTGATCCAGGTCAGCCTTGTCATCAAGACTTCTGTGTAACTTGAGCCGTTTGTCTCCCGAAAGTTGCGTTTACCGCCCTTGAGCGCTCGCCCGCCATACCGCCACTCACCAACAGTTGGAAATGCAATGGAGCAAAGCTCGAGGCTCGTGGCAAGGGTAGGTAAACGAACAAACTTGCATGGGATCTAAACCTCGAGTGCCTTGCCTCGAGCACCTTGAACGGTTATCTCGGGGTCCATAACCACGAGATCTCCAGATTTGTTTCTAAATGATAGTGTTTCAGAGCAGTGCTGCAATAGTGTGATCGTATCATACACAATTTTGTGGAATTTTGGTTTCTTATTCTTTCTTTACCCCTATGTAGGCAAAGAGGCGCAGATAGTTATCTCGGGGAAATGTTTGTCTCTTCCGAGGCTACTCTAAACTTCGCATGTCTTTCAATCTGTCTTACATGGTACACCCCGAGCGCCTTACTGGACGAGTCAAACTTGCTCGGCTGTCTCTACACGACCACGCGGTACAGAGAATCCCATCCGCCATCGATCAGTACTTGAACGTCTCTTGACGCGTAAATGAACATGATTCCCCTGCTCGTCTTCTTTGCCTTGCACTGGATCTGGTTTGAGTTTGCTGTAATTAAATATGACTGGGATCAAGGTTTGTGCTAAGACCAGAGACAATCTCATGCTGCGCCATTCAGGGTCCATGTACGTTCTAAAGTTGAGACGCAATACTCCATGGCTCTGAATATTCTCCTAAATACACGAGTGGAACAATAAACGCCTGCTCCTCAGTCGAGTGAGTCTTCGTTCCTCACTTCATCTTTTCTCCCACCTTTTGCGATCGTCATCCTTCCGCGGCGGGTTTGTGCGACCTTATCCCCCTTATTGAACCAACACGGGTCAAACGGAGCGCCCGCATAAACCCGCTTTCGGTCATATCGGCATCGGCTCATGCTTCATTCTCGTACTCTTTTGAGTTGAGAATTTCTCATTTTCTCGTCCGCTATTCACTTCTCTCAGATACGGCCTCATTCATTTTCCTGCAAACCGACAATGACTCGCAGAACCAAGAGCGCCGCCCGCAAGGCCCGGGAGAAGGCCGCAGCTGAGGAAGGAGGCGCCAAGCTGCAGAACTTGGAGAAGATGATGGGCGAGCTCACCATCAAGAAGGAGGAGGGTGAGGCTGAGGAGAATGGCACTAATGGAGGCGAAGGAGGCGCCGATCTTCGCGACATTGAGGAGATGATGATCCAGTTGAACATCAAGAGGGAGGAGAATGCAGACGGCGGCAGCAACGACGGCGGTCATGATCAGAAGGGCAACGATGCGACCTTGGATTGTGTTGAGCTGAAGGAGGCCTTGGATGACCTCAAGAACCCCAAGAACGTCGATCCTAATGAGGAGAAGAAGGCGAACGGCGAGAACAGCGCGCCAAGGATGAACAGGAAGCTGACCGAAAAGGAGCAGGCGAAGGTTCAGACGAACCTCGTCGCGCGCTGGGAGGAGTACTTTGGCAAGAGAGAGCTGGCCGACTGGCAGCGTCTCTGCGGTGATCTGGGTCTGGAAGCGGATCTGCCCACCAAGACCCAATGCAGAAAGGTGAGTTACCCTCAAGAAGCACTGCGTGATATATCGGCGGCTGACAATGTGAATCTCCTATGAATAAAGGCGCTGAAGACGGTCCACGTCAGCATCAAGCAGTTTCTCAGTGTCGAGAACCGACCCGGCGAGGTCGAGTTCTTCAAGAATCCCTCCCAGCTTGGACGGTATTGCCGCAAGAACCGCATGTTCATGTCCAGCAAGGAGCTCCCCAAGGGTGATCCGCTCCGCTCCCTACGGCGCAAGATGAGATTTTAATGCTGGGAGGTTCTAATGCTAGAATGAGAGATGAGTGAAAGGTCGACATGGCAAGAGGACAGCCCGTTTTTGATACAGGAAGATGTAATTAAGACAGGCCCTCACGCCAGATGATTAACCTCAATACACAAGCATGCCAACCGAATTTTCTTTTTTGGATACCCTTCTTAACTCCTAATCTCCCACATTCTAATCTTGCCCGTATCATTGCCGACCGCGAGAAGCTCGCTGCTCCGCCCAAACGCAACGCTCGTGATTCTGCCCAGGGGCGTCTGTTCTGTGGGCCAGTTCCTGTAGACGGTGCAGCTGGGGAGGTGAACCAGGCGCAGCGCGTCCTTGGACTCTGTGCTGCCGAATGCCATCAGCTGGCCGTCGGGGGAGAAGGTCAACACCGTGATGGGTGTGACGAGCTGCTCAAACGTGCGCGTCGGCTCGGGCCGCTGCTCGACGTCGACCTCGCCGGCCTTGGACGACGTCTTGACGAGCGTGTGGCGATCGTAAATGTTGGTGATGCCGCTGCTGGAGCCGACGGCAACCCACCTGTCGTCGCCGAGGAGTTCGGGGCCCTGATGGCCACCCAGCGCGATGACGATGCCGCCCACGCAGCCATCGTCGTGCCATACAGCCAGGAACCGCTTCTCGGCCACGCTGTACTCTCCGACGGAGCCGTCCCGACCGAGGATTGACATGCCCTCGCCGTTGCTCCACCAAACGAAATCGGCGATGCCGTGCCGGCTGTCCAACCGGGCGGCGGCGATCCACTGCCTCGACTCGGTGCTGATGATGTTGATGATGCCGCCGCCCTTGCGCGTCGACGCCACGAGACCCATGTACCGCCCGCAGGGGCTGAGCTTGAAGCGCTCCATAGTCTTGTGCTCGAGCCTGTGGCCCTGGATCTGCGACGTCTTTTGCACGTTGCCCGTCTGCAGGTCCCAGCTGTGGAAGAATTTGCGCCGGCCGGCGAAGAAAATTTGGTCGCCCGACGGGTAGAGGAACTCTGCGCGGCGGACGTCGACGCCCTTGGCCTGCACTGAGGTAAGCATCGGGTTCGGCGTCGGGTGGGCCGTCGGGTTGAGGTGGTGCAGGTAGAGCACAGAGGAGACGCTCGAGGAGAGGAGGACGGGGTATCGCGGGTGGAAGGAGAGGTTGTTGACGGCTGCCTTGTGGGTGTCGGGGATCTCGCGCGTGCGCTGGATGTCAATGACTTCGGGGCGGAGGCGGGCTTTGCCGCCGTTGGCAGCGCCTTTGCCGGCGAGGCGGTGGACGTCGCGCATGAACTTCTCGAGGGGCGCCGCGGAGAGGTTCGTATCGCTGCCTTCTTCGTCGGAGCTAATAGAGGAGTCGGAGGCGGCGGCCGAGGAGCGCCTTCTCCTCTTTGCGGGCCTTCCCTCGGACGAAGGCTCTTGCGCCCATTTTGGCAGCGGGTTGAGGCGGACGAATTGCTGTCTCAGTCTTCTGCTGTACTCTGCGCCGCTGACCATGTCCTCGGCCTCGGTGATGCGCAGCTTTCGTAACCTCGTCGCGGCCGCTAGGGAAACGGTCAATCGCTCGTCATCACTGTCCTCCCACGCAGGCGCGTTCTCGTCAACGGCCGCTGGCTCTTGCTTGCTGCCCGCCTTTGCGCCGCCCTTTGCCGCGGGGACTCCGGTGTCGAGGAAGAAGAGATCGTGGTCGGCGACTTCCTCTAGTGTGGGCTCGTCGTCCGGCTTGGTGAGCTGGAGGTTCTTTTCTCTCTCGAGTCGTTCGATATCGCCGAGAACATCGTTGCGGAAGAGCTGTTCGCGGAAATCGGCCTTGCCTCCCAGGACCAGCTTCTCGAGCTCCTCTTCGTCGGAATCCTTTTCGTCGAACACGGGTTTCGGTTTGCGTTGGCGGGGGACTTCCTCCTCAAATTCTGACTCCTCGGAGGAGGTGACCTCTTCCTCTTCGGAGAATTGCTCAAACGGTTGTTCTTTTGCCATTGTCGCCGGTCGGTGGTGATTTTCTTGTCTCGTTTGGTCGTGGGCGCACCAGCGGATCGAGGTGGGAATGGACGAGCGGCTTGCAGAGGACGTCCAGAATTTTTTTAATGGAGCTTTCAGCCTTGCATCTTCAAGGAGGATTTGATTGGCGTAGTTGTACACGCTAGAAAACAAATCAACCAATGGTGCTTGAGTGATGATAAGGCTCGATTGCGGGGCATTTAGGACCCCTCCTAACGAGACTCAAACTGGCAAGTGGGTGACAAAATAAGATGCTGGTCGACACTCGACCATAATACCTACTTACCTCTTAATTGTTCCTGACTTTCTTATTCTTCTTATCTTCATTCTTGAGGTTTCCACTATCTTTATCCTTCTTATTATCTTTATCGTTCTTACTGCCTTTGGTGGGAGGGAGGAAATGAAGCCTCCAAGGGAAAACAAAGACAACAGGCATCACCCCAATCACCAACCAATGCAGACAACCATCATGATCGCACCGCGGTTGAAGCTAAGTCTGGAAGACGGCCCAGGACATTGCTGCCCATCAAGGGCACAACTGAGTACGGTATCAAGCCATTCAGCATCGGAGAAACCCTGCGAGACACGACCATCAGCATGACAATGCTGCAGCTACTCCAAATCAGTCCGACTGCCAGGGCAGAGGCAGCTTTCCTGTACTATTTTTATTATCCTTTTTGTTTTTACTATCCTCATTGTTCTCGCTGTCTTCATCATTCTTCTTATCTTTGTATTCTATATATTTATGAGAGAGTACTCTGAAGAAGAAGGATAAGAGAGCTAGGTACTTTGATACTTATAGAGCGGTAAACGACTGTGTTGCCTACTTGACTAGTAGTTTGTGATCTTGGTATTTAGAGATATTATTTTGTTTTTTATTTTTTAGTTATCCTCTACTTCTTCTGCTAATTTCCTCTTTTTTGCTCGTCTTACTTTCTTGTCCTCGTCGGCATCAGGGCGTAGCTCTTTTGGTTGTTCAGCTGATTCTGAGCGTCGTCCAGTTCCTCTGCCGTATAATCTTCCCCTGCCGCAAGACTTGACAAACTATTGCCGTCATCAGTCATGGTATCGCTGCCAGGCGGCGAGCAGACCTATGTGCCCGTACTCAAAGCGAGACTCAGGCTGGCAAGTGGGTGACCAAATAAGAAGATGCTAGGCGAAGACTACGATGCCTACTGGCCTGCTTATCATTCCTGACTTTCTTATTCTTGTCGTCTTGACTATTCAACCTCTCTGTCAAAGGTAGGAAACCAGAATGAATTCTCAGAATACCAAAATAAAAGACTGCCCAGCACGCGTCTATTTTCGCTTCATAGGGGTCCCAAATGCCCCGAAATTGAGCTACTCCTCTACTTCTTGTGCCAGCTTTCTCTTCTTTGCACGCCTCGCTTTCTTGTCCTCGTTCCTGGCCGCTCTCTGCTCCTCGCCCTTACGCTTCTGAGCCGCAAAGCCTTCGTCAATATCAAAGAAGACTTTCTCCGAAGCCGTAATATCCTCTACTTCCGCCTCGTCCTTCTCCTCGTCCTCCTCCATAAAGGAGTCCAACGAGCTCGCATCTAGCATCTCATCATCCTCGTACTCCTCATCATCGTCGCCATCCTCGTCATCACTAACCTCCATAAACAAGACTTGGTTATCGTCGTCGTCTTGCTCACGCGCTAAAAGGGCATAGCTCTTTTGGCCATCAAGCTGGTTCTGAGCGTCGGCCAGTTCCTCCGCTGTGTACTCCTCTCCTGATGCGAGACTTGACCGACTCATGCCATCGTCGGTCATGGCCTCCGTGACTGTACTCTGATCGTCGTCTTCGTCATCGTCATCGTCCTCGCTTTCATCGCTAGAGATGTCGCCGTCTGTGTCCTCCTTGTAATGAATCCTGCGACGAGTAGCTTGTCGCTGCGTCTTGTTCTTGGGCCTTGATGAAGGCAGAGATGACTGCTCGGCTCCCGTCTCCTCGATGGCCTTGGTGTCGTTGCCCAAGTCCAATCTCGCGAGGTTTCTGGCCATCGAGATCGCATCAACTTCCGCCTTATAGCGCATCCAAGCCTGACCAACCTAAACAAATGGATAAGTGTGTCTCCTTTTACAGCCAAAGATTCAGAGCGAGACTCACTTCATGCTCGGCGCAAAAACGCCGAAGTTTCTGGGCCTCGCCCTTCACTCTGCGACGCAGCTTCTTGGAGACCATGTTGTCCTCGGGTTGCGTGATAGTTGAGTGAAAGGGCACTGTCCTTTTCTGAATTGTATGAATTTATGACGCCTTCGTGTGCGAGATGAGTTCGCCCGAGAGAGGTAGAGGTGTCGAAGCCGAATATTAAAAAGTGAGAGGAAGCGAAAAGTTTACTCGGCCTGCCGCCAGAGATGTCTGATATAAGTAGTGATTCAGAGCGTGAAGCTAGTCAGTTGTATGGTGATGCGTTGAGGACGGTGAAGCAGCGAGGATGGTGATGTACCTAGCGAGGATAGTGTTTTAGGGAGGACGGCTGGGTAGGAAGGCATGGGAGGAGGAAGGCTGGTTGTGTGGGAAGGCACCGGGGGGGGGGGGGGGGGGGGGGGGGGGGGGGGGGGGGGGGGGGGGGGGGGGGGGGGGGGGGGGGGGGGGGGGGGGGGGGGGGGGGGGGGGGGGGGGGGGGGGGGGGGGGGGGGGGGGGGGGGGGGGGGGGGGGGGGGGGGGGGGGGGGGGGGGGGGGGGGGGGGGGGGGGGGGGGGGGGGGGGTAACGTTGATAGGAAGGCACGATGGGCAGGAAGGTACGATGGGTGGGAAGGTACGATGGGCAAGCGCAATGACTACATCGTGCCTTCCGCAGACCAATTTCCTTCTCACCTCGTCACGCCCGTGACATACCCCAAGGCACATCGGCAAATCCCACAAAAAAAAATGCATTACCCTCTCGTCCTCTCGTCCTCTCGTCCTCTCCAAATCTCAGCTTTCTCAGTCTAGCATCGTCGGGTCTGAATAACCAACGTTCAAATCTCCATCATTCCATGTGATCACGTCGACTCGGCCGGTACACTTTCACATCTAGTCACACGAAGTACATTGTCCTTTTGTTTCTTACGAGAGTCATCAAGTTTTCGATTTCGTACGAAGCAGCCTGATCTTTTCTGATCCCCCCCCCCCCTCCAGCCGCACCACCGAGTGTCCTCTCACGTACACGTCCAATTTTCTTCCCTACAGAGACGATAAACCCTACTTAAAGTACAATGCCCCGAGCGAGAAAGAAAACCACCCAGCTACCCGACGTTGAGGTAGACGTACAAAAAACCGCGATGTGGGCGATGCCCCGGGATGCGTCCGTCCTGAGCCTCTCGGACCAAGTAGTCCTGAACAATCTTGAGGTCTTATGTCGGCAGAATGCACTGATGCTCAAGCTGTTGACGAGGATCGAGCAGCAGCTCACAAAGAGTGAAAAGTATGACTTCTCTTGAGCACGGTGAAGAGCCAGGCAGCCCCTTCATTAGTTCTTCTATAACTAGACATTGTAACTAACCTTGAGCAAAGCATAAGCAAAGGCAAAAAGCGCAAGGATGAGTCGGACAATGAGGGTGACGACGAGGACGAGGCTGCCGTTCGATGCATCAAGGAGCAGTTTTGGGCAGTAGTCACAACCAAATACGACTCCTTCATCGCACGCAAGAAGTACAAGCCGTATGTCAAGCGAGGCAGTACTGCCACGTTTGGCCACAATGCCACCGAGTTCAGGGACGCCATATGCGACGAGTTGGAGTCGGATTCTTCCGAGTCGAGTAAGTACAAAGTCCTTTTACTCGGAGTTGGATGCGTATGTTAATCGTAGCATAGATGATGATCTCGTCACTGCCCTCGTCAGCCTCTCGCAGGAGGGGATTGAGGACCTCTACTTGGCACTGGGTGCCGACAGAGTCAAGAGAGCAGCAGCCACACAGGTGGAGCCGTCGGATTCCGACGAGTCTCTGCAAAGGCCATCACGCCAGAAGCGCCGGAAGACCGGCTCGAGCAGCTCCAATAACAGCAAAGAGTGATAGTGTGGTAGAGAATGGTCGTTTGAACGCGAAAGGGAGCATCATCTGGCATGTCAATGAGAGATAGAACTATAGGGCGCACTCCATGGTGCATGAAGCGTTGGGAGCTATGTATCACGTATCAGATTCACGTTGCAGAAGCATACTTTAGACAGCTACCTACAAGACATCCAACGAAGATTGACAACGTGTCCCGACCGTTCTGGCTGCTGTTATCGTACTGTGCCATACACGATTTGAATATGAAGCTTCAAGGGACATTGTACTGTAAGATTCTCCATCACGTCACTTGAACACGTCAAATCATGGGGAACTCAAATTTCGTTTCTTTCCGCAGAGAGGCAATGTACATCAAGTGCCTCTGGTATGAGAAACGGACTGTGAATCTACAAGAGGCATTGGTGAGGCTGTTGGACATTGAACTTCATAATATCTTGCTATCTCCTAGGAAAAAAAGGAGAGAAAAGACCAGGCCAGTTTGAACTTATGAGGCAAGCAGTTGTTTTGCAAAGTAAGTATTCGTCCCCGGCGACTCGGCCGTCCCCCTTTCGTCACCTTCACGACACTCCTCCCCTGAGTAAAGCCGCGAATCATGTCTCTCCACACTGCTCGTATAAGTCATATCATTAAACCCAGAATCCTCTCAGGGCTTGGACGTGCCGGCCTTGTTGTTGACAAGGCTTATGATGTCAAGATGGTGGCTAGGCGTGTTGTCGTTCGTGCCTGGGGGCGGCAGAATAGTAACCATACTCGAGCGGTGGTTGGCAAGGTGTGCGTGCACAGTTGACTCAGCATCCGGCACACCCACATGCTCATCCGGGACGGTGAATGCAATCGAGAGCAAATCCGCTAAACGTTCTGGTAGTATCTCTTGAGCTGGGTACAAAAGTACACTGCCCTTTCTGTCGTTGATGGCTGGAAAGCTTGGCCTGCGCGGTCCGCCCAAGATGATGGCCGGATTTCCTGGGACATCAAGTCTATCGTCGAGCTCCCGGAGATTCTCAGACTGCCACCCGTGGCTCTTTCGTTTCTTGCTACGATCAGCCTGGTTCCGCTGCTCACCGGCAGCGGAGGATCGGAACTCCGGTCGATCCCATCCCAGAGCTTGCTTCAAGGCATCGTGCTGCTCGATAATCGCAGGCTCCGTCACCCAAGCCGCCCGAATGCCCGTGATACCACCAGAATCTGATCCGGAGATGTGACGCTCGAGCTCGTCGACTGTGGCGAAGAGATGGACGGGGGCCTTGGGGGGCGCAGAACTCGCATAAAGTTCGCATTCATATCCCGTGCTCTTGTGTGTCTTCTTGATAAACTTGACGCGTCTGCACCAAGCTTCGTAGCCGACATGAAACTTTGTTTCCTGGTGGCGCTTCAGGTGTGCTTCGTCTGGCCATTGCCGCTGCTTTCGCTGCTCTGGCGCCGTGATGTCGTTGATACACAGCTCACAAAAGAGACCCTGTGACGAATAAAGCCAAAAACCTTTCGCCGGCCCTCTCAAGCTCTCACATTCCAACCAAGGCCTATTCAGCACGGAATAAGCCAAAAACAATTGATAGAGTAATATATAACAATACAGAATAAGCTAAAGCATTTCTCTAAAAAATATATATATATTATTGTTTTCCTTTGTTCGCTATAAGAGTGGCAGATTTGGCCCAGGAGAGCAGTGGATAAATCTATCACCCGCGTAAGAGTATATTAAGCTCGTATCCAGATCTGGCCTTACCACCTTGTTTACTCTCTGAGCAGCTACACAGCCTGTGGTAGCGACACCGACGATGAAGATGGCATCGCGACTACTACCAAGGGGAAAATCCATCGGGCAGCTTCTATAGAAGCACGACGAAGCTATCAGACTCCCTGGCAAGGTAGCTATCGATGGTCGGCCAGTGGTCGATAAAGTGGCTCAGGCAGGTATACTCTTTTCCATCGCCCTCGGTGATCAAGCCCGTGATGAACCCACAGTCGACAGTGTTTATGTGCGCTATGATAGGGTGATTGTAGTGTTTATGTAGTGACCGTGTATATACCGAGCCGGGTCCGTGGCAACTTTATCCTGCAAAGCAGAAAGCTATAAAGAGGCCGAGGGTTTTAGTGCCTCGACCTGTCCCACAATAGAATGGCAGGTCGGTGTCTTGTAATAGTATATGACTTTATTTGCTGTTACTCTTAACCTCCCCGACGACGAAGAGAAAGACACCCTCGAGAAGGCCTGCTTCCTTGACCCCGACGGGCGTAAGAGATCGGACTAAAAATCGGTATCCCCAAGTCTAAGTATATCTTGAGCTCTATTCCTAATACTATTATTATTACTAAGACAATTGCTTTTCTTTACTCTGTAATTATTCCATTGATAATATGTCTTGAGAAGCTAAGAAAGAGTATAATAAGAGAGGCAATGAGAGAGGCAATGAGAGAGGCAATGAGAGAGGCAATGAGAGAGGCAATGAGAGAGGCAATGAGAGAGGCAATGAGAGAGGCAATGAGAGAGGCAATGAGAGAGGCAATGAGAGAGGTAGTAGTAATAAAAAGGGATTAAAATATGTCTCGGCCGGTATACTATTTTACTAAGCTTAGGGCTATGTCTGTTCTTGCGCTAAGAGATGGATCATTCATATACCCTCAGCGGGTCTGAGCCGTCAACCAACTATCACTGGATGAAAACATCCACACATCCCCGATAGTCTAGTGGTGAGGATATCTGCTTGTCACTGAAACTCAATGAAACGCAGGGGACCGGGGTTCAATTCCCCGTCGAGGAGTACTCTTTTGCCCGGACTTATCATTTTATGAGTTATCGTGAAGAATGGGTGGTGTTTGTGAAGTTTTTGTCATGGTTATGAGTTGTGAGAGTGAGTATCGTGGGATCGCGAAATCGACCTACGCTAAGCCACAGGCAGCGTGGCGCGGTGGGGTTCCAGTCTGGACCTTCCTTGTAAGTAAGGTAAGCACCACTGTATTTCGGAGGGCGTGCACCTCGGCTCTGGGTACTTGGCAGGGCGTCTTCTCATATCGCCGTATTCCGCTGCTCTTGAAAGCTAGACGTTCATCTTATATGTTGAGCACCCAGCGAGCTTAATTGAATCGTGTTCAGCTCTCAGTAGCAGTCTCGACTTTCATATCTTAATACGACAAGCTTGGCAGCCACTCTCTTTGTCGAAGAAGCAAAACATTGATCAGTTCATCCACAACAAACAACCAAGCAACCAGGGGCACGGCACATCGCCGTCGTCTATCAAACATGATTGTCCCACGCTCATCTTGCCGCTTGGCCAGACAAGCTCTCTCGCAGCTGCAGCTCTCACGCCAAATTATTGGGGCCAACGCAGCACGTCGTCACATGAGCGCCGCTGCATACCAATCAGGCGGACTGAAGAATCTCCTGCGTGTTTCTGAAGAGGTTGCCGATGCCGTTGCCACAAATAAGCCGGTTGTGGCTTTGGAGTCTACAATCTACACACACGGTGCGCTGGGCAATGATCTCGGTCTGGAAGACATTGTCCGTCAGGGCGGCGGTGTTCCTGCTGTGTGTGGTATCCTGAACGGCGAGCCTATCGTCGGAATGACGGAAGCTGAGGTTGCCTTCATGGTCGATTCTGGCATGGCGGGCAAGGTGTCGAGGAGAGATGTTGCTCACCTCGTTGGACTGGTAAGTCACTAGATAGCATTGCGCTATCATTCATGTTGGTCCATTGACAGACGTCTTCTGCACACATTCCATGCCTCAGTTCTAACATATCTCAGGGAATCACTGGAAAGAAGGTCCATGGCGGCACCACCATTGCCGGAACCATGCTACTCTCAAGACTCGCAGGCATCCGCGTCTTCGGCACTGGCGGCCTAGGCGGCGTTCACCGCGGCGGCGAGAACTCCCTCGACGTCTCCGCAGACCTCACGGAGCTCGGCCGCACGCGCGTGGCCGTCGTGAGCTCAGGCTGCAAGGGTTTCCTCGACATCCCGCGCACGCTCGAGTTCCTCGAGACGCACGGCGCCTTCGTCGCGACTTTCGCCGACGGCCGAACCGGCAACGTCGATTTCCCCGCCTTTTGGGCCCGCGAGAGCGGCACAAAGAGCCCCGCGGTCGTCCAGACCGAGCGCGAGGCCGCCGCCATGATCTTGGCGCAGGAAAGCCTAGGCATCGAGTCCGGCATGCTCTTCGCCAACCCGATCCCCGAGGAGTACGGCATCCCCCGCGTGGAGATGGACGCCGTCATCGAGACGGCGGTCACGGAGGCCATTGAGAAGGGCTTCACGGGCGCCAAGAACACGCCCTACGTCCTCGGCAGGATCAGGCAGCTGACGGAGGAGCGAAGCACGCTGGCCAACAAGGCGTTGGTGAGGTCCAACGTGGCGCGGGCTACCAAGATCTCGGTGGAGCTCTCGAAACTGCTGAACGAGGGCGTTTCGAAATCGTAAGTTTTCGATTTCGTTGTATATAGCTCAGCCGGGGACTCGGACTCTGACTGCGTAGATAGTTCTTCGAGCACGCATGTTTCTGGTTATGACATTCCCCCTAAAGCTACCGTCAAAGTGGAAGAACCCGAGTCCAGCAAGGCCGATGTGCTTGTGGCGGGCTCCGTAGCGATTGACCTGAGCTGCGACTACCATCCCCTAGGTGACAAGAAAGAGGTCGCGCCTCATATGCAAACCTCGAACCCTGCTTGTATCAACCAGTCCATCGGCGGCGTCGGTCACAACGTCGCTCTGGCAGCTCACAGAGTAAGCAAAGACACGACAGTACGCCTGTGTAGCTTGATCGGTGACGATGTGTAAGCCCGCTCCCCCCTTATACCTACAATTCCACACCTAACGAAGTGAAAAGCGCCGGCGCAACCGTCCTGTCCTCTCTCAAAGCTTCAGGCCTCGAGACAACCTACATCCGCCAGCTCACCTCCGAGTACCACGTCGCGAACCGCACGGCGCAGTACGTCGCCGTCAACGACGCCGAGAAGAACCTCGTCATGGCCATGGCCGACATGGGCATCTTCGCCAACCACTCC